CGGTTTGCGTTTGAGGGTCGAGCGTGGCAGTACAAGGTCCTCCCCTTCGGGCTCTCTCTGTCTCCGCGGGTCTTCACCAAACTCGCGGAGGGTGCCCTAGCGCCCCTTCGGCTCGCGGGCATTCGCATACTCAATTATCTCGACGACTGGCTGATTTTAGCCCACTCGCGGGAGCAATTGATTATGCACAGGGACAAGGTGCTTCGGCATCTCCGCCTACTGGGGCTTCAGGTCAACCGAGAAAAGAGCAAACTCGCCCCCGTGCAGAGGATTTCTTTTCTCGGGATGGAGCTGGACTCGATCACCATGGTAGCGCACCTCTCCGAGGAACGCGCTCGCCTGTTGCTGAACTGTCTGAGGGAGCTCGACAGCAAACTAGTGGTCCCACTGAAGTTCTTTCAGAGGCTCCTGGGGCATATGGCATCCGCAGCCGCCGTCACGCCGCTCGGGTTGCTCCATATGAGACCACTTCAGCACTGGCTTCACGATCGGGTCCCCAGACGCGCATGGCACGCGGGCACACACCGGGTCTCGGTTACTGCGCTGTGTCGCCGCGCCCTCAGCCCTTGGAACGACCCCTCGTTCCTACAGGCCGGTGTGCCTCTAGGACAGGCGTCCAGCCATGTTGTTGTTTCAACAGACGCTTCCAACACGGGTTGGGGGGCCGTGTGTCACGGGCATGCGGCTGCGGGCCTCTGGAAGGGTGCCCAGCTGCATTGGTATATCAATCGCCTAGAGCTGTTGGCAGTGTTCCTCGCTCTCCACCGCTTTTTACCGGTGCTGGAGCGGCAACACGTGCTGGTCAGGACGGACAGTATGGCGGCGGCGGCGTATATCAACCGCATGGGGGGTATGCGCTCTCGCCGCATGTCTCAGCTCGCCCGCCGTCTGCTCCTCTGGAGTCACCCGCGGCTGAAATCGCTGCGCGCCATTCACGTCCCAGGCACGCTCAATCGTGCAGCCGATGCGCTCTCACGACAGCTGTTACGTCCTGGAGAATGGAGACTCCACCCCGAGTCTGTTCAGCTGATATGGGCGCGATTCGGGGAGGCCCAGATCGATCTGTTTGCTTCCCCCGAGAACGCTCACTGCCAGTTGTTTTTTCCCTGACCGAGGGCTCTCTCGGCACGGATGCACTGGCCCACAGCTGGCCTCGGGGCATGCGCAAGTATGCGTTTCCCCCAGTGAGCCTGCTCGCACAGTTTCTGTGCAAGGTCAGGGAGGAGGAGGAACAGGTTCTGCTAGTTGCGCCCCTTTGGCCCAACCGGACCTGGATATCAGAGCTCTCACTCCTCGCGACGGCCCTCCCCTGGCGGATCCCTTTGAGAGAGGACCTACTCTCTCAGGGACAGGGCACCATCTGGCACCCTCGCCCCGATCTTTGGAACCTCCACGTGTGGTCCCTAGACGCGAGGAAGACTTAGGTAACCTACCGACTGCGGTGGTTAATACCATCACTCAGGCTAGAGCCCCCTCCACGAGGCGCGCCTACGCCCTGAAGTGGAGTCTATTCACTGAATGGTGCGTCTCTCGCAGAGAAGACCCCCGAAATTGCCAGATTAGTGTTGTGCTCTCTTTCCTTCAAGAGAAGTTGGACAGCAGGCTGTCGCCCTCCACTCTCAAGGTTTACGTGGCCGCCATCTCCGCTTATCATAGCGCGGTAGCTGGCGGCACCGTGGGAAAGCATAACCTGGTCATCCAGTTCCTTAGGGGTGCTAGGTGAATTAATCCATCTCGCCCCCCTCTCATGCCCTCTTGGGATCTCGCCCTTGTTCTCACGAGTCTGCGATCCGATCCCTTTGAGCCACTCGAATCAGTATCTCTAAGATTTCTGTCCCTGAAGACAGCTCTGCTGGTTGCGTTGGCCTCCATCAAGAGGGTCGGGGACCTGGAGGCATTTTCGGTCAGTGAATTCGGGCCGGATTACTCTCACGTCATCCTGAGACCCCGCCCCGGTTATGTGCCCAAGGTTCCTACCACCCCCTTTAGAGATCAGGTAGTGAACCTGCAAGCGCTGCCCCCGGAGGAGGCAGACCCAGCCCTTTCTTTACTTTGTCCAGTTCGCGCTCTGCGCATTTATGTGGACCGTACTTAGAATTTTAGTTCATCTGAGCAGCTCTTTGTCTGTTATGGCGGTCGGCAGCAGGGAAGTGCCGTATCGAAACAAAGATTATCCCACTGGATTGTGGATGCCATTTCACTCGCTTATTCGAGTCGAGGTCAGCCGTGTCCCTCGGGAGTTCGTGCACACTCCACTCGGAGCGTTGCATCCTCTTGGGCGCGTGCACGCGGCGCCTCTCTAACAGACATGTAGACTGTAGAGCTGCGGGCTGGGCGACACCCAACACATTTGCAAGGTTTTACAATCTGCGAGTGGAGCCGGTTTCCTCAAGGGTATTAGGTAACCCTTTGGTGATTGAGGAGACAACTCGGTAGGGTGTTGAAACACGCTTGCTGCGCCATTCTCCCTAACACGGAGGTACGTGCGCCTTTTTTATCTGTCAGTAAAGTTCCCCGTCAGGTGAGCCCTGCAGATTCCTCCGTGGCCCCCAGCACTGACTCAGCGGAGGAGTCACTTGCTGGCCCACTACGTTGTAGGTCTGCCCGCTGGTCAGCCCGCGTTTTGGGTATAGGTGCCTGCTATGCGTGATCCCCACTAGGCGATCCCATATGCTTATTCCGCCACGGTTAAGTCCCCCCCCTGGGCGGACCCGTGTCTTCCCTCTCCGCTAACCACTCTTTGCTATGCGTACTCCCCCTTTTTAGGGCTAGTCCATATGTAAATTCTGCCATCTATCCCCCCCTTGGGTAACGGATGGCCTCCGCAGCGTCCTCCCTATCGGGATTGCACGCTTCCCAACGTACTGTCGTATTTCCTAGAATTATCTAGATGCTCACGACTTCCCAAAAAATATATCTAAATCCGTAAAACTTCTGTTGAAGTAGGATAAATTAGGGCCAGGGACACGTTGGAGGACCGCGTCCCCCATAATGTGGGTGCGTCACGCTTGCTTGACTATCTCCTCATCGGGGGTGTTGGTAAGGTGCAGTCATTATGGCGCTTTCAATGGGCTCCCAATGCGTGGATTTTACAAATCAAATCCACTTATAGTGCTGAAGTTCCCCCCGAAGGGGAACGTTCGAGGTTACTAAAGTAACCCTTCGTTCCCCGAGGAGGGGAACGGAAGCACTATACTCCGTCGCCATAATGACTGTCCCTTAGCTGTTTGAAAGTCTCTTCAGCTTAAAAGGATGGCGTCTGCTGGCTTCAGGTGTGCTTATATGCTGAGATAATTGCAGATGTCGCACACCTGCGCAAGCTTACGCTGCCAATTAATTTCATTCATTGGCCCGTTCAATACTCTCCAGACAAGCGGCTTCTGATCCGAATCCTCCCAATGCGTGGATTTTACAAATCAAATCCACTTATAGTGCTTCCGTTCCCCTCCTCGGGGAACGAAGGGTTACCTTAGTAACCTCGAACGTTTCCCGTCCGATCAGATCCCAATTAAAATAAAGGTAAAATAAAAGGTAAATTAAAATAAAAGTATCGACGATACCGATCCGATTCTTTGCCTGACAATTACTGTTTGGGAAATTAAAGTAACAAGTAGTGTACTTAAAAGTGTGACTTTATACTGAATGCGAGACGAGTATTACGTGTTATTCTTGTTTATTGATTAAGAATTATACAAAAAAAAAATATCCAACTTACATATTTATTGACCGCATCTGAGCATGTTTATCTAAAAACCTCTGCCTGAACATCCTAGCATAAAACAATAAACATTTACACCTTTCAGTTTGGTGACATATTAAGAAGATTTTGAACCTTTTTCTTTAGTTTTATCATTGTCACAAAAAACCCAAGCCCCAAAAATACAGCTACATCGCCACATGTTCTCCCTCTATACCTGGATAGTGTCTGCCTGCTGCACCTAAGGACTCTGCAAGCAATGTCTGTCTGTGTCACAAACAGCATCGTTTTGAGTTTCTGGAAGTGAAGTAGCTCCGTATATAACTTCGCTTCGGTCACCCACATCCAATGATAGCATGACTGACAACATGTGCCAGCGGATTGAGTATCAAGCTAGCGCAATCTGCAGTTGTACAGGGCCAGATTAAGAACATGACTTGGCAGGCGGAAGAACAAGTAGTTCCGCCTAAGTTTACATTATTCAGATAAACTAGGGTAATTGTGGTTACTTTCCGCTTTATTTCTTTTCCAGTAAACTACATATTAGTACATATAAATGACTGAAATATCGATATATTGATAAGATAATCGATTCTACAACACACAAAGCAGGTATCAGAGATATCGATATTTTAGTATCGATCCGCACATTACTACTTCGAGTAACGAACCTTTTTCCGAAACAATTGGGTCAAGCGCTTCACTGGTTCAGAAAGCTTCATTTCACCATCACTAATTAGATGTTAACAAGAAGATCATTGAAAGTTGAAGTCTGACTCCAATAGCTTCACCACACAGGAGCTAATTAAGCTAAATCACATGATTAAACCTCTAACGGACAACAGGTCTGGAGAAGAGCTTAGCCACTGCACCAACACTTGCCACCACCAACACTGGTTTGAAGTGCAGCTCAGGTTAAATACTCTCTCTCCTCTCCCAACAGCCAATCACGGGAAAGATCCAATGATCGCTACCAGGTGGACACAGTTTCCTGCAGGGAGAGAGAGAAAAACACACACAGAGAGAGAGAGAGAGGGAAAACACAAAGCACATTGTGCACACCAAAAGATACGTCTTAGGACTTAACACTGTGCATTTACAATAAACTAATAAAACAGTATATAATAGACTGCAGAGTAAAATACTTTGCAGAACACAATTATTCAAATAATTTTTGGAAATGTTCAGTGAAGTTTTCTGTAGCTATATTTGTGGTTCTAGGGAGGTGTTTTTTGTTCCTGTTGTGTTTCCTGTAGCAATGTGGTATAGTTTTGACAATCTTCCTTGCATATTTTTGTTGCAGACACACACATGCGTAGCACCTGTTATGGGGCTGTAAAAAGAGGTTTGTGTTTACGACCCTTCCAGCGTGCTGTCACCAAGTCACAGTGCTGCTGTGCCAACCCTGACTATGCTTTTGGTGAACCCTGCCATCCCTGCCCTGCCAAACACTCAGGTACAGCTATTACCCATGTTGATGCATTAATGTCTAGGATACATATGATACCGTCAGTTTTAAAGATTTTCCATGTGGGTGAATTGTGGGCATGTTTGGCATCTCCAACATAAATCTATTAGTTTTAAATAATAACACAAATTATCTTATAAATATTAACTAAAATGTTCACACTATACTTATTTTTGTCGATTTTCGCCACCTGAATCAAACATTCATCTGCAATGATAATAAATTAAGTCTAATTTTGTATTTTCTGAGTGTTTAATCTTGAAATATTTTCTGTTTTATTTGTTATTTCAGTTAGAAAATAAATATTTTGTGTCCGTTCTTATGTTATGGTTAAATCGGTTACAATTAATAACCTAATCAAATGTTCCCTATCACATTTCAGCTTTTTGTGGCATTTTACAGTAATTATGGGTTTCGCTTTACTGTAAATTATACGCTTGTAATATGTCATTCCAGTTTAAGGAAAATTATTGGAAAATTCTTGAAATCCACCCACAATTTCGGAATGAGTCGTGTGTTGTGGCATATGGGAGTCAAGCACACAGTTTTTACAGGGTTTCTAAACATGGGCCTTAATTCTTCCCTTGAGACAGTTGATTTTTCATGCATTGCTACTCCTAATGAGAGAGTTTTGGGAGGAGATCCAAACCAAAATTAAGGACATATGGAAAATACCGATGCTGCAAGACCAGCTCTGCTTTATTGTAGGATCTATAAACAAGCAGACGATATGTATAAATAGTTCTGTTGACTGTCTAGTATGCATTCTATCAGAACAATTTTTTTTATTAAAGGGGACCTATTATAAAAAAAACACTTTTATAAAAGGTTTAAGCACAGCTGTGTGGTAACAGTGTGGGAATATAGCCAGCCTCTAATGGTAAAAAAATAATTTATTCAATTTTTTTAATTACAAGTTTTATTTTTACTTTGATTGACATTTTCCCAGTGTACATGTCAATCAATCAAAGTAAAAATAAAACTTGTAATTAAAACATTTTAATTAATTATTTTTTTACCATTAGAGGCTGGCTCTCATTTTTTCCGGGATTCTTCCGTATTTCAGACCCCATCTCCTGCCACCATCTCGTTTTGTTATTCAGTTTTAAAGAGTTATAAAACATTATTTGTGTGGTTTTTTGAGCTGAAACTTTAAGATGACATTCTAGAGACATCAGAGACTTATTTTACGTCTTGTAAAAAGGGGCACAGTAGGTTAACACTTATGCATTTGTTGTTTCTATCATCTCTAATGTCTAATAATTCTCAGAATTGGTCACACTGATTGTTTTTATATTCGTAGTAGATTACTCAACTGACTTGATGCAGACTGATTCCCTGAGTTTAAATAAATCTCTAAAGGGTATTCTAATTTTATATATATATGAGGGATTAATTATCACTGTGATGTTTGTTCCCTCACTCTTCTAGCTGAGTTTCAGGTCTTATGTGCGAGCGGTGTTGGATTTTCTGCTGATGGCAAAGGTATTTATCATATCAAGTTTTGATATCATATTATCATGTTATTATGGCCCAATCCCAATTCTACCCCTTAGCTCTTTCCCTTACCTTCACGTGTTCAAGTCATACACACATGCAACACATATTTCACGTGTTCACGGGTAGGGCTGTCCAATTCTTTTTAGCTTGAAGGCGAAGAGCTAGATAGCCCTAGATAGCTAGATAGATTTTTCAGGACCACACTCGAAACCGAGGGGTATGAAAAAGACCCAGAAATCGTTGTCTGGGGAACATTTGTATTAACTAACGGAACTTTTTCACTTTAAATAACTTAATTATATATTAGTTATGTTAACTTATCTGGATTGAATGTTTTGACATAACTCATCATAAGTAGGCCCACACGGAATCTGTACACGCAGAAATCTGCAGATTTCTGCAGATTCTTAGCCCATGATTGAGTCTATTTATTTACTTGTGTAAATGTGTGTAAAATTATATTTATTCAGTTTTAAAATGTATTTCACTAACATTATTGACTAATATGAAAATGTTTATATGATTTACCTACAATACAGTTTGTAAAGTAATATTTTCTGTCTTTTAGTCGATATATTATATGAGACATGTTTTGTTTACCAAATAAGTGGATCTAATTGGATTTGCATTGTAAACATTAAATAACAGTTAAAAATGTTTTCATGTATTAAGTTTTTAGTTTTTAGTTCACAAAATTCTGCACAGAAATAGCAAAAACATGTCCGCAGATTCTGTCTGGCTTTACTCATAAGTCAAAGTTTTACATGGTTGTACTAAAAAAACCTTAAAAAGAAGAGTCAGCTAAACTAGTTAAAGTTTTCAAACATCTGAGCTTTATATATTCTTTTGGAAAGGCACTAAGGTTTTTAATGTTTTTCATGTTTTTTTTATTCGTGGAACCATCGATGCCAATAAAGAACCTTAATTTTTAAGTGTGCTTGTGTGCGTAATTTTCTGTTGTTTACTGAAAAAAATGCTGGGTTGCACACAATTCCAACATGTTTCAACACAGATTGATTAAGTTACCCTAATATTTTTTATCAATTTAACTGGATTAAACATAAAATAATTAAGGTGTCTCAAGAAAAACATTAGAATTTTGTTGTTTCATCTAATTTAAACAAGTACTTTGACCAAGAAGCTAAAGTTGAGTGTTTGCATGATGTGCAGTTTCTGTTTTTAACTATTTACAAAGTAAGCATGTGAATGATGTATAGCTTTGAATCTATATTGTTCTTAATCTACTAAAACTTTGCTTAAAATATACCATTTGTCACATTAGTGAATATGACGTGTCTTTTTAAGTGATTCTTTTGATAATTTCTTTTATTTATTTGTGAGGCAGACATTAATGAGTGTGCTCTGGATCCGGATATCTGCTCAAATGGAGTGTGTGAGAATCTCCGAGGAAATTTCCGCTGCGTCTGTAACATTGGCTATGAAAGTGACCAGAGCGGCAGAAACTGTTTAGGTCAGTTGACATTTAATATAATTACTTACAAGTTACTACCATGAGCTGTCAGGATTGATTTAAGAATTCAAGCCTGTACAAATCAAATTTAGTTGACAAGTGACAATTTTAGTGTGCATCACACAGGCCCTATTTACACCTGTATTAAGATGTGTTTTCATTGAAAGAGGGACATTTTCATTTACACCCAATGGTAAATGTGGGATTTGTCTCATCTTTCGATTGAAATGTAAGAAATAAGCTAAGCCAGTTTGTTGGTCAACGATTTTTATCCATTCATTCATTTTCTTGTCGGCTTAGTCCCTTTTTTAATCCAGGTTCGCCACAGCAGAATGAACTGCCAACTTATTCAGCACATTTTTACTCAGCGGATGCCCTCCTAGCCGCAACCCATCATACACACACTCATTCACTATGGACAATTTAGCCTACCCAATTCACCTTTACCGCATGTCTTTGGAATGTGGTTGAAACTGGAGCACCTGGAGGAAACCCACACGAATGCAGGGCGAACATGCAAACTCCACACAGAAACAGCAACTGAGCCAAGGCTTGAACCAGCGACCCAGCGACCTTCTTGCTGTGAGGCGACAGCACTACCTACTGCGCCACTGATTTTATAATTTAAAATTTGAGTACATTTTAATAACATTTTACATAGTGAAATTAAATATACCCCATGAATTGAGTAAATTGATGAATATACACAGTTCCTGAATACAGTTGAATCATTTTTACATTCAAATATTTGTAAATCTTATTTAATTAATTTAGAACCAAATATTATTAACATTTAAATGACATTTAAGTGTAATCAACCTTTCTCTATTATCCTGTTTCCATCTTTATATCGCTTATGCTGCATATTGTTGATTTTGGCTTTACAAATACCAGAGCCGACGGAAAATAAATGCCAGACTAATACATATTTGCTGCCTTAATAAAATCTCGGAATATCACTTAAAAAATGTATAAATGTTAATTAAAATACATTTTTGTATAACCTTTACACACTGTAAAAAACAACCTATAGAATCTACTCAATAAAACTGAGGTAAGAATTTGCACTTACTTTGTTTGGGTAGATTCTAAACTATATATTTATATAAAGAATACCTCAATTTAACAGCTCTGACAAACTGCAAAAAATTAGGTACGGTCTACCTAATATTTTACATTAGATTACATAAATTATTACTTATAATAATTGAGTAACATGAACTCTATGTTAGTAAGCAACAGTCCATCTACTAATTTACTATTATTAATTATTACCCAATAAGAATAATCAAAAATAATTTTTTCATTAAAGGTTGAATTTACTTAAAAATTGTCAGAAGCAGGAGATAGCATCAATTGCTTTTTTATTGACAAAACATTTTTTTAAAACATTAGTACAAAAAAGGTACCTTTTTACCAAAAAGTACGTACAAAACACCTTAGCATGAATTTCAAAAGAAATACATTACATAAAGCATTAAACATTCCATATTATGTTTTTCACCCATCTGAACACATTCCAAAATTAAAACTTCAGTGTTTAGATATGTGTGCAACACTTGCAACACAAATGAAAGGAGTCACTGAAATGAAAAAAAATACAAAAAAAAAACTAAATGAAAAAAATCTCCTTTACCTCAACAGAATGCCATGCCAACATTTCAACAACTTTTATTTTAAACCAAAACAAAAAAATGCTTTTAGATTCAATTTTTAGGAAAATACAACTTCATATAACTTGCATTGCATGCAACTTCTTAAACATTTTGAAAAACATTTGAAAAAACACTAATTAGGTATAAGTGCATTAAATTTCCCCCAACACAACGTCATAAAACATTTTACAAAATTGTAATTGGAACACAATACTATTTACATATAGAACAGTGTCTTTACTGGATGAAGCCAGCTCTTTCCAGTAGCTTACACCTGAGGCTTTGGATCTTTTTTAGCAGCTTCATTCCATCAAGTTCCAAAAACAGTTTCTGGAACACTTCAAAAGTGTACTTGAGGTTTTTGGCATATTGAAGGTTGAGTGCATAGATAAGTCCCATCAATAATGTGCATGCTGTGGTTATGTTCCCACAACCGTTCAGCACTCTGCTGCCCTCTATGACGACACACACATCCACTGGGTCCACCTCAGCTGTGGGGTTTTTAATCACTACCAATTTCATTATGTGATTTGTGTGGCCTTCAAGTTCATTCTCCTGTTAAAAAGAAAAAAAAAGCATTTTTCAGCACTGAACTGAACTAAATCATCGAGAGCATGTTTTAAACGAAGCAATAGGCCGTCGCTTGGTGCATTCGCTGTTAAATCATGAGCAATGATTGTATTATCCACAGTACTACAGCCATAAAAATAGTGATCACGTTTAACTAATCCTGCGTTGAGAGAGGTTAGGACCGCCTACCTCATTAACATATGGACACAGAAATAAATAAATGTAGAAATACAGAAATAAATAAATGTAGAAATGCAGAAATAAATGTAAAAATAAATAAATATAGAAATACAAATAAATGTAGAAATAAACGTAGCATAACACAATGGTACCAAAATAGCTAAATTAAAAATGACACTTTAACACAAAATTATTAATTTATGTGTTTCTACATTTATTTATTTCATCATTGAATTAATTTATTTATATATACATTTATCTATTTCTACATTTATTTATTTATGTATTTCTACATGCATTTATTTATTAATTTATGTATTTTTACATTTATTTATTTCTGCACTTATTCATTTATTTATTTATACTTAGGTAATTTCTGGTCCTCCATATCCGTCCGCATGAACCTTTGTGAAATGTAACTTATACATTAGAGCACTTTCTGTTAGCCATTGCCTTAGCACAGATGTGTTCGCAGATTCCCACATTACATGGGAGTGAGTAAATTATCGTGACCTTTTTTATGAATGTGGAGTAATTCTTTAAGCACAATGTTCAATAAGGAAAATTAAACTATGTGTAATCATTTGAATACCTTGAAACTAGGGCTACACAATTTTGAGAAAAAAAAACCTAATTGCGGTTTTTCTGATAAATATTGTGATTGCAATGCAATTTTCGATTTTGAAGATGCTGGTATAGATTGGTAGTGTTTCCTCTGGATCTGGCCACGGGATGTCGATTTTACATTTAGTACACTTTTGCTTCACGTCGTTCTTCGCGAATCCAAAATAAGTTCAAACAGCTGAAGCATTCACACAAGTGAAGCGTATATCATGTTGTTCTCGAGTGCCATTAAAGATTCATTCAACATGAATGAATCATTTGAGAACGACCATTACCTCAAGTTCAAACACTGGAGTGGAGTAGCTTCGCTGTTTATAAATTTCAGACATTGACAATGATGAAAACTACTATAATGAAGTGATATAGATGTTTATTCACATTAGCAGGTGCAAGTACTGGGCAATTAAAATTTAAATGCTAATTTGACTGACCACAAATTCTAAAATGTGAATCTGTCACTGTGGTGTCGACAACAAAGAGAAGCGCGCAAATTATAATCTTCTGGTTGATTTTAACGTTGCACAACTTAACATTTGCATTCAATATATCAACAAGTCAAATAAAACTTACCTGTAATTCAATTGCCGTCCCACCACGTTGGCAATGACATGGAAAATGGCGACCCCACGATTCCCTCCTGGATGTTGACGCATGCGCAATTTACCAAAGCAAATATGTAAGAGTATACTTTACTCATTTTTTAAGTGTTGCATTTTTTTACTGTTAAAAAATAGATAGTGTAGGTAAAATGTACCCATTATGTTGCATTTTAGATGCTAACTCATAAACTTAATTAAACTTTAACTGATTTTCTTGGGTGGTATTTAACACCCCCTTGAGTAATTTTTTACAGTGCAGATGTGTGCTTAAGTTTTCTAGACTAGAGCAAACAAAACAGAAATGTGCGCACATCTAAAAATCTCAAAGGCAGGTGCTCGATCAAAAATAAGCAAAGTAGCAAAAGATCAAAAGAAAATTGGCACACTGCCCCTTAGAGCTAAAGTGGCAGTGTGCCGATTTTCTTTTGATCGTTTACTACTTTGCTTAAGTTTTCCCATCAAAAATTACATTTTGATACATTTCTTTTAAAATATAATTTTCTTGTTTTTTTTGTGCTGAACTAGTGAATTTATTTCTATGTTAAAATGCATTTACAGTATAAAATCATTTAGGTTCTGTTAATTATTTTAATTTGTGCAAAATTATACAGAATTTGTTTTTGAGTAACAGTAGCCGGTGTCGCAGGTGAGAGATTCCACCGACACAAAGATGCAGTGAAAACCCCTGTAAGGGTGTCTATTAAGGGAGTGGAGCAAGGAAAAGGTGCACTGGGATGTGCAGGGCAGTGAGTTCTGTGACTAAAAGGGGTCCGGTGGTTGGGTTAAGTGCCAGTGAGGATGCCCAGTAGATAAGGTAGGAGTCAGCGTAGTTCTTGCTGTCATCCTCCTACACTGTAAAACCCAACAGTTAAATCAAATGAAATAAGTGTAGTTAACTCAAAATTTACTGAAAGTTAATTCTTCTCATTTGAAAAGAGTTTTGAACTCAGTGTTAATGAAATGTCTCATTACTTCAACTTAAATAAAGTAAGTTCACAGTACTCATATATATTTGTTTTTTTTTTTAACTCAAATAGTTTGTTGCAATCAGTTTATGGTCTGAGTTGACTTAACTTAATTGAGTTTTACAGTATTCAGTTGGATTGAGTTCTCTTCATTTATCAGGTTTTACTGTGCCCAGACTGCTTCATTTACGCAAATGGATTAAGTTCAAAGTATTCATTTGGACTAGTTTTTGAACTTAAATGGTTTGCTGCAATCGGTTTCCTCAACTTGTTTGAGTTGCCTTAACCTTCTGGGTTTTACAGTGTAGTTGTGCTTTCCCGTCTTCTTTGACGGCGTATGTTAATTATCCCTTTTCCAATGGGCAACAGCTGTCCTTGATCAGCATGTAAGGAACAGTCTAATATGCATGCAAGGTCAAAAAGCACTTTCATGGTCTTATAATCTGCATTTATTTTTACCTAATTATTACAGCGACTCCCGTATGAATCGTCCAGTGATTCATTTGTTCCCAAACCCCTCCTTAGTGCGAAGCTAATCTGCGCTGATTGGACCGATGACAGTCTGTTGCGATTGGTCGACTGCCTTCAGTGAGAGAGTGAAATGCCCAACAGCTAATCAGCAATATAAAAGTAATCACAGTTTATACACGCTCGATAGTGTAGGCGGGGATTTTAGCTGCCAGTGGGTCATTGTAAATACAGACGATAGCCTTGAAAATACAGACGACTAACTTTTTTATTGAGCAAAAACTGCAAGAACTGGCGAAGAGATCTCCTAGCTTGTCTCACTCTGCTCTTTTCACAGAAACACACACACACACACACATACACACACACACACATATTGCCCTCGTCCTTGCGCGTGCGCGCACACACACAAAAACACACACACACCTCCGGATGACAACGCGCGCGCACACACACACAAACACACACACATACCTCCAGACGACAGCGCACACACACACATACACGCGCACACACACACACACACTACTCCTCCTCCACGGAGCTCCGTAAACAAAGCAGCACGCTTCGCGTTTTTAACATGGCTTTACACGCGATATGAGAATATAGCGAGTTAACCTGATACAGTACACTCGGTTACAAGTAACAAATCACAACTAAATACATTTGCAAGCTAGAGTCAACGAGGCAACAACTTTAATCGCACATACTTACACTTGAGAAATGGAGGAAGAAAAATCCATCCTGACGTCCATCAGTAAGTTACTCTTTACTGATCCTTCCTTTAACAAACGCTGATGAAGTATTCTTTATATAATGTAGTTTCCAGAAGTTTCCAGTAGTTTCCAACTGCTTGGTTATAATGAAGGGGTTTCATCTTTGGGTAGAGACTCGATAATATCCATCTGCAGTGTGACTTCAATCGATCGGCATGTTTGTGTGTGTGTGTTTGTGGGTGTGTGTGTGTCTGGGTTTCTGTGTCAGAGGGCAGGGCCGCAGGTTTCAAATCTCCCGGGTTTGCGCGTGCACGTGAATAACTTGGTTTCGTTAGTACGTCATGGCGAAACACCTAATGACTCGTTATCAAGACGACTCGTTTGAAGCACTATGAGTCGACTCTTTTATAAATGAATCAACAGGTTTAAACACTGTACTCTTTCAGATTTAAGCCTTAGCTGGATACTTCACTTCACTTAGAGCTGTGTTACACACTACATAAGAAGGGGGTTTTCAAAAAACCCAAAATATGGGCTCTTTAACGGAGAGATTTTTTCAACACATTTCTAAACATAATATTTTTAATAACTCATTTCTAATAACTGATTTATTTTATCTTTGCCATGATGACAGTAAATAATATTTTACTAGATATTTTCAAGACACTACTATACAGCTTAAAGTGACATTTAAAGGCTTAACTAGGTTAATTAGGTTAACTAGGCAGGATAAGGTAATTAGGCAAGTTGTTGTTTAACGATGGTTTGTTCTGTTTACTATCAAAAAATATAGCTTAAAGGGGCTAAAATATTGACCTTGAAATGTTTTTTAAAAAATTCAAAACAGCTTTTATTCTAGCTGAAATAAAACAAATAAGAAGAAAAAATATTATCAGACATACTGTAAAAATTTCCTTGCTTTGTTAAGCATCATTTGAGAAATATTTAAAAAAATATATATATAATATAAAAGTATAATTATTCAGACTTAACTTACTGTAATTATTTTTTTTTTTTTTGGTGAACTAAACCTTTTAATCTTTTAAATTTCAACTGACTCTATAGTTTCTAATTAACATTATTAACATAATTAACATTCCTGTACATTAAAAATAAAGTTGTCGTTTGACATATAGACAAATATTTGACGTGAAAAAGTCAAGATGTTATCCAATGTGTCTCATAATGACGCAGCGTCCTCTGTTTGCAGATATTGATGAATGTGTGGTGAACAGTCTCCTCTGTGATAATGGCCTGTGCCGGAATGTTCCAGGAAGCTACAGTTGCACCTGCCCGGCGGGGTTCATCTTCAGACATGACACAGAGACATGTGAGGGTCAGTATCAAGAGCTTCTGAGATCACACAGATTCTTGTCACTTTACGTTTTTCCCCTTCAGTTTCTGCCTATGTGGAAACATGCTATAAATTCCAGAGGCAGGTGTTTACAGTGTTCCACTTAAAACAAGACAGGCCTTACATGCCCTAACATGTATTGGAAAATGGATTAACATAACAGCTTTTTAAAATAGATTTCTTAAAAGTTTTTTAAAAAAGGCTTATCAAGGCTGTATTTATTTTATTAATACTGATTAAATAAATTGCATTCAGTTCTGATTCAATAACAAATTAAATTTTTGATTCAATAACAAAGTAATATTTTGTGACATTGTTAGTTTAAAATAACTGTTTTTTCATTTATTCCTCTGACAGCAAACCTTGCTAGTTTTTAGGTGTCAGTACTTCAATTTTCAGTACCACATAATCAGAAATCATTCTAATATACTGAAACATTTTCTTATTGTTATCAATTAAAAATTGGGCTTCTTTATATTTTTGTGGACACCATTATATATTTTTATTTGAAATCTTTTATAACATTAAGTATTTTTGCTGTCAAGTTTGATCACTTTAAAATGTATTTTACTGAATAAAAGAATGTTTTAAAAAAAAAACAAAAAAACAAGAATGACTAAAAGTAAGTCTTTAAGAACGGGTTTCTCAAGCCAGGTGGCGCATTAGACCAGGGGCTCATTTCCTGTTTCCAAAATGCATCACAAACTGCTTGAGAGACTGTTCTACTATGATAATTGGTGATGAAAATAAATGATGTTCAATAAGATGTACTTGTGTTTACAAACTGTTTATTCGGTTAAACATCAATTTTGAACTGTAGGCCTACATAAACTCGAAACAGTGATTTTTGATCACCTAAATCCGACTAAAGTCATAACTGAACCAAACAGAAATGGAACTAAGATGTGGAGTATGCATATATTAGTGGCATTATTGAAGTAAACACCGCAGTCAAAATATTACCGTCATAAAGGACTTTGCGCCATATTTTTTTCGACAAGATCCACACACACGGCTGTCAGTCAAGGACACACACACACACTCACACTCACACACACACTGCGAAATGAAGAAGTTTTTTCTTTCCATTCACTGTGCGTTATTATATTTTATAACACTCTCACCAGTCCTTACTTCTTATTTGCATATAATACCCCAATTTGTCACGGGGGCATGAATGAAATGTTCGTGAGTGAAGGTGAAACAGCCGAACTGCGGTAAAAGTCACACAAAAATACAGGAAACTCTTACATGAAAGCACTTCATTTGAACAGTTGTATTATATTGTTGTCTATTAATGCAAATAACTACATTACATATGTAAGTGAAAGATCCAGAAGGGCATCCAGCTGATTTGATTCAGACAGCACTTTTTTGCTAGACAGTTCACAGGTTCGACTTTCATTCTCAGTCATTCATTTTAAAAAGCACCCGATCCATTTTATTTATTGTATATGTTTTACATGAATGCATAAACTCAACCCAAGCTCATTCTGAAAACGTAGCCCCGTGTACGTTTCTGGAGACCGCGATTTACTTGGCTGGAGGTACGTATGGCCGCATTTCGTTTTGTCGAGCGAACGCTACGGGGTGGTGTGACGCCACTCCTTTTCTCCGCGCTCGCCGGCTGTGACAGCTCACCTCCGTGTAAAGGGCTTTCCCGCCGCAACCAGTTTGTCGTGGCACAGCGGCCTCTCGTGGATTCGCGTAAACAAAAACTGCACAAATACGTACCTCCCGGGATGCATTCATGTTAGCACGTCACATTTGATGTGGTAATTTCAGAGTAGGAATAGACACAGGTTCAAATAAAAAAAATATATATATACAAATCTCACTTTAACGCAGCACGTTAAGACAGTTAACGGCCCACCTCTAATTTAAACAAAGCAACGAACAAAACACGCAGACATCATGGGAGTGACTTAAAACTAATGACAATGAAGGGCTAAGAGAACAGGGCATAAATACAAAAGGAAACCATTAACTAAACAAGCTGATGAGGGGGTGGAGACAATTAACACAAAGATTAACAAGATAAGGGTTAACAAAGGTGACAGGAAGTGACATGAAAACACTGAACTAAAACAAACAAAAACAGAGGCCAGGATGTTACAAAAATAACAAACACCAAGAAAGCATATCAGAATGATTTCCAAAAGGTAGTGCAGCATGACTCTCATAAATTCAGCATTGACATCACAACAATGGATGACATTTTGTTTTAGATTCAAACAGAGAACCGTACTACTAATAAATAGTATTCTTTTGTAAAATATTACTGTTTTTACTATTTCTTTTATTAAACAAATGCAGTTTTTATATGCATTTTAATAGGGTACAAGCGGTATACTGTACGTATCTTTAGTATTTTGGGACTGTTCATTTAATTGTCAGATCATATAACCTTTCAGTTGATCAACCATCATTGATTTTGTTTTCCAGATGTGAATGAGTGTGTGAGCAGCCCATGCGTCAATGGAGTGTGTAAAAACAGTGCAGGCTCTTTCTACTGTGAATGTTCACAAGGAAGTAAACTGGACAGCACTGGACTTTTATGTGTTGGTAAATGTATACATTTAAACATGTACACCTAAATCAAGGCCATTTTACTTCTATTACTCACTTGTTGATGCAAGAAAAATACAGTGGATGGCAAATATAGATAACACTTTGTAAACACGTGATTTTTCAGATATAATGTCATGTTTATTTTTCAGAATCTTATTTTTACTATGCTGTTTTTTAAGGAAATTCCCTTTTTTGGAAAACCTCTATAATTGCTTGATAACAAATGTCATGGTTGGATGATGAAAGAAGGGGAACCGCTTGGAATATTTGCATTCACTTTGCTATGTACTTTTTGAAGAGGCAAAACTCCTTCAAACAATAATACTTCTGCATCCTTTCACTTACTTCTTTGCACACTTTACACAAAGTGCTTTTCAGCGAAGGTTATTTGGCCTTTTGATTCTTTCAAAAGAGGTTTGGTCCCTGCAGAGTAGTGTTGCCAGGGTCACAGTTGTCTGCATAATTGAGCTCTTTTGAAAAATGCAGTAGTTTTAAAAAATATGAAGTGAATTTTTTGGGGCTACATTTGTACCAAAATGTTTCTTTATCTGGAATACAAAATGAAAACTAAATTGTTTCTTAATGGGCACTGACTTTGGAATACATGCAAGTGAGTCAGTACTTAAACATTTAAACTCTATCACAAACTATTGATGTCAGCAATTAACTCTGATTGGACAAAAAAAAGGGCAACTATTCATTCCTTTTGGTGGGTTTTGAGTTGTCATTGGGTTGGCCTTTTTTTAGACCTGGCAACCCTGCTGCTGGACTTTCAGTTCAAATTTTCTTCACTTTGGAGACACAGTATGTTAAGATAAAGATCCTTACCCTTTCACATGTGAAGTAGTGACCAAACTCAGCTGCATTGTTGAACTGATTTCCATTGAAATTCTCCTCATCCTGTCCTCGCATTTTCATTTTGAGAAAGATTTTTAGGGACTTGAGTAAAAATACAGTATTTTAGAAATCACAGATTTGGCTGCAACCTACCTCTTGTAATTTGGCTAAAAGGGTAACTTAGAACAGCTAATTATTTTGCAAAGTCAGAAAAATTATTGATTTTTAGGTTGCCAGATCAGCGGATAATTAAGGAATAACAAATTAACCTGAATAACTGTGAGGAATTTGAAAGTGTTTCTCTAATTTTGATCATTGTTCTTTTTAAAACATTGAAAACTATCCATCTTGATATTTAAAACATCGACCTGTCTTTCAGAATATATTTATATAATATTCTTAAAAAATAATTTTTACTCTTGCACAAATTGAACTAGAAATTGACCTTGAAATTTAGGAAACTGTTGCTTGTTCTCTAAATTTTGCGACCACTGTGTTAAAAAAATACCATCATTACTAAAAGAAACAAACAGTTTTCTGTGGTGTATTTGTGTGTATTTTATTGTGCTGAGGAAGGTTTATTTCTACAGACAGTGTGAAGGGTTCATGCTGGTTAACTCTTCAGGATGGTCGTTGTGAAGTTAACATCAACGGAGCTACACTGAGGTCACAGTGCTGTGCCACACTAGGACTGGCGTGGGGCAGCCCATGTGAACCATGTCAAACTGGTATGAAAACGTTGCTTCTTACTGTACAGAGCTACAATACTAAACAATAAATACAAGGTTAGTACTATGCTATACTCCAGCATATATGCTTTTAAAGGGATTGTTCACAACGATATTCAATTTGAAACTTTAAGTGATGTGTAATTTTGCTGTGAACATAAACAACATCTCTGAATGTAATATGTTTAAAGTTCAATGCAAAGGGAGACATTGGCTTTTACAGAGTTTGCTTAGCAAAGCAAACTTTGGGGACTACAAAAAGATACATCCGGGCTAGTGAGATCACAAGGGTTTCCGGTTACACGCATTTACCCTGCGCTCACACCCTGCACAGCAAAGGGCCGTGGCCAGAGGTGTTGTAATGGTACAGTAGAGAAAGCTAAAATGCCATCCAAACGCTGCTATTTCCACAAAGCTTCTTCTGTTTCTGTATTTTAGCTTCCAAAGGACACGACACAAAGACAGAAGTGCTTACAGTTTAATTATAATTAGACAATTATAAAAAAAATATATAGCAAGCATTTGACAAAGGACAGCTTCCACAATCTTTCCCAGTTCAATGCTAAATACTCCTCAAAGGAGCAACTCCAACAAGCAGAAGCTGTGACTTGTGAGCCACAATCTGTAAGTATTTTTATTTGCTAAAATTGATCGATGACATGCATATTGTGTAGTATTAACGGTATGTTGTAGCAAGGATATAAACAATGGGAAATGCTGTTTGCCACCGCTAACAATTTAGCTACAAATTCATATTTATCAGTCAAACTGCTGTAATCAGCCACAATCTTCATCAGCGCTGCAGTGTCTCTCAATGCGGCTGCTCTCTTTCTGTTCTACGTCTTAGATAATTAACTCACAAAAGATATGTAAATGGTTCATATTACTTACAAATGCTTATTCTGAATATATGTGAAAGACGTGTAACGCGTTGAGTTAAGAAAAAAATACAGGATAGCTCACCTAAATCATGTTGCAAAAGAACAATCAAAGTTTACGTGGGTCGCATTCCACATCTTGCACTTTAATCTCCTGTCAATTGCGTCACTGTATATTACAGAGAAATAAGAGAAAGAGAAAAATAAAACTAAATATCAGTCCCGCACACATGTGATTCTTGATTTTATTTTAGAGAGCAGGCATAAGGGTCATCCTTTTAATTTTCTGTCTGATAAAGGCTCAAAAGAATACTGCTAACAGCTACTCTGCCTCAGCTGTGTAAATACTGTCAGTCAAAGCGCATGCTTGTGGAGGCGTGGACGCTTTACTGGTGATATGGAGCCGATCTACGAATACCAGCACATTATGTTTGCTGACCAATCAGAGTCAATCAGAGTGGGTTTATGCGAGAACAGCGTGGCTGCGAACGGCACTCGCGAGAGACATTTTAGATACCAAAAAGTCGTCCATGGGACTACGTTTTCAGAATGAGCCTGGGTTGTTTTGCATCTTTGCAAGCTTTAAAATTACACACTGGACCACCCCTTTAAAATATTATTTTTGCTCACCAAAGCTGCATTTATTTGATTAATACAATAAAGAAAGTAATGTCATGATTTTATTAATACATTTTCAGCAGTCACAACTTCACTTTTTATTATTACATGATCCTGTAATTTAGTTTAGTTTAATAACTGTACAGCAATAACTGTAATTTAGTTATTGCTGATTTAGTTTGAGTGATTTTTTAGAACTACTTCATATAAGTATTAAAGAAAGTAGTATTAAAGTTTTAAAGTATTAAAGAAAGTATGCTGCTTAGAATTTCTGTCATTAAAAAAAATTCTTGTTAACAAATAATTGCATTGTCTTTGTTTCACATGCCGTATATATTTACATGATTATTTATGTGATTAACTATGTGATTATTTATGTGTCCAGATCTAGTGTGCGAACGAGGATTTGCTCAGTCAAGAGGGGCTTCATGTGAAGGTGACAGTTTCATAGAAACGACTTTAACATAAACTCTGTTTTCTCTGATTTTGAATTATAAAGCTTACTAAGGTAAAAATGCCCACCTCTCCTCTCTCTCCCTGTGTAGATGTGAATGAATGTGAGGTGTTTCCTGGTGTGTGTCACAATGGACACTGTGTGAACACTAGAGGCTCATTTAAATGTCAGTGCCCAGAAAGCCTCACACTGGATGTCACTGGACGCCTCTGTGTTGGTAAACCACCCTAATTTTGTGTCAAAGTATAATTCAAAGTGTAATTTAGTTGTTTTATTAGATCATAATTGCTTGATTCATATGGATTTAGGTGTCTTTATGAACTTTTGGGGTGACACAGTGGGGCAGTGGGTAGCGCTGTTGCCTCATGGCAAGCAGGTCGCTGGTTCAAGCCCCGGATGGGTCAGTTGACATCTGTGTGGAGTCAGTCACTCAGTCTTTATTCATTTCCCCCAGGGCATTCATTTCCTTTATTCATTTCCCGATTTAGTTGCAGCACACAAGCATATTACACATAATACAAAAAACACATTGTACAATGCAAATCTACCCTAAATTTAAAAACTTTACAGTTGAGGGGATGAATGAAAGTTTAAACCGATATTTTTTATTAATAGGAGTTCTGTATCGAATACCAGAAGATAAAACTCGTGGTGCATAGTATGGGAATCATCTGACAGAATTCTCTGAGCTTTGCTCAAAACTTGTCTATGGTATAACTGAGCCATGGTCATCTGTATTCTCCCTGTTATTTTTTCTCCTAGGTTCACAATTTTCTCTAAACAACTCTTATTTTTTACACTTAGAGTTTGCTTGTTCTCCTCATGTTGGCATGGGTTTTCTTTGGGTGCTTTGGTTTCACCCACAGTCCAAAGACATGTAGTATAGGTAAATTATTGTAAATAAGCTAAATTGGCTGTTGTATATGTGAGTGAATGGAAGAGTGTATGGCTGTATCCCAGTGCTGGATTGCAGCTTGAAGGGCATTTGCTGCGTAATAACACGTACTAGATAAGTTGGCGGTTCATTCCACTGTGGCAACCCCTGATTAATAAAGGGATTAAGCCATAAAGAAAATGAATGAATGAATGTACCTTTGAAGCTTGAACCCAGATTTTAGACTGAATAAACTGAATAAAATAGGATAAGACAATGTTAAAAACAACTTAATTTCAGTCGTTTATCTGTGTAATGTATTACAAAAAATAGAAAAAAAGTCTTTTGGATATTATTAAAATAAAGTATTAAAAACATCTGTGCAAAATGATGGGAGTAAATTATTTGTTTTGTCCAAACAGATGTTCGTTCGGAGCCGTGCTTTCTTACTTACGAAGAAGATGTGTGTACACAGCCGGTACCAGGACGCTTCCGCATGGACATGTGTTGCTGTACGGTGGGTTTGGCTTGGGGCAAAGATTGTGACTTATGTCCTGAGCCTGGTACTCGGCAGTTTGACACCCTGTGCCCAAGAGGACCAGGCTTCGCCAACAAAGGAGACGTTCTCACTGGCAGAGCTGTCTATAAAGGTCAAAAAGATTTTGATCTTTGATTTTGAATATTTAGCTTTTACTGTTATATTATACTGTTATTCTGTTATAAAATTTATTTATAAAGTAAGTTTATAAATGGAGCTATTCCCTCTTCATCAGATATCAATGAGTGCAAAGTTTTCCAAAGCATTTGTGTCCATGGGAAATGTCGGAACACCATTGGGAGCTTCAGATGTCGCTGTGATAGTGGATTTGCACTGGATACCAATGAGAAAAACTGCACAGGTAAAACAAATCATTTTCATTACACCATGCATTTACAGTATGATGATAGTAATAAATTGTATTCTATAGACTGGGTTGTCACGATACCATTAATTCATGTAAGGATACTATATCAGCTAAAGTATTGTGATATCATGTAGTATTGCAATACTGCATTAATCAAATCCATGAAGAAAAAAAATGGCAGAAATATTATATTTTATTTGTTATAATATGCTCTCTTGAATTGAATTAATGATTCCCTTTTTATTGAAAAAAGTATTTGCATGTCTCTTCACCTAAAATGTATTCGTACCAGCAAAAATATGATTAAAATAAAGATACAAATTATACCAAATGAAATTCGTTACCCAATAAACTTAGGGTATATGAAGTGGTCAATGTTTCCTGTTGCTATTTGGGTTTTTCATCTATTATTATTATATTTTTTTATCTTATCAGGTAAGAATCCAGAGTATTTCACTCTGTGAGTTGTTCTTTTTAAGAGATTGTCACGGTTGTTGTAGCTATTAAATATTGACAGGAGCGGAAATGTTTTGCCATCTTAGAAGGCTCCATAGACAATTAAAATACAATGGTCTATTGCTGCTGAAACGTGAGCATTGTAGTGAGGGTGCTTTCACACTTATTCTTTTGTTATGGAACCTGGTGTGTTTATCCAGTTAGTGCGTTCGTTTGGCAAATGTGAATCCTGCAATCGCGCTCAGATCCACTTCAAAACAATTGGTCCGAGATCATCTGAATGAGGTGGTCTCGCCTCGATTGAAATAAACTTTGGAGTAGATCGATTGTAGTGAGAAAGCAATATGATCTGAGCCAGGCTAAATCACAGTGTTTTATGGATGGGTAATAGCCATATATACGGCTATATGAAGAGAACATTATGAGTAGGGTGGGCAATATGAAGAGAACATTATGAGTAGGGTGGGCAATATGAAGAGAACATTATGAGTAGGGCATCATTCCTACCAGTAAATGTGCATTTCATGTCAAATTTGAAAGTGAAAGCATGTTAGCCGTTTATCTGTTTGGAAAATTGACCGAATTGCAGTATTGGTTTATCTGTTAATTTTGTCTATAATGTAAAGCCTAATGCCCAAGCCAACTGCTATGTATGAGAAAGTCTTACCTCTGTTTAATTAAATAAAATTCAGCTTTATTTGTATAGTGCTTTTACAATGTAGATTGTGTCAAAGCAGCTTCACATAAATAGTCATAGTAAATTATATCAGTGTAGTTCAGTTTTTAGTGTTTAGGTTCAGTTCAGTTCAGTTCAGTTCAGGGTGGTTTAAAATCATTACTGAGAGTCCAAACACTGAAGAGCAAATTCATTGATGGGCAGCTCTACCGATCCCAAACCATGCAAGCTAGTGGCGACAGCGGAGAGGGAAAAAAACTTTAACGATAGACGAAAAAAAACCTTGAGAGAAACCAGACTCAGTTGCGCACGACCATTTTAGGGCTCTATTTTGACGGTCCATGCGCAGAGCGCAAAACGCAGGGTGCAAACGCTTTCAGGGCATTTCAGAATGTATTTTTGCAAATTTAAGTACGGGAAAATCTGCTTTGCGCCGCGGCGCATGGTCTAAAAGGGTTGGGTTTATTTTCTTAATGAGTTATAAGTGTGTTTTGAGAATAAACCAGTCTCATCTGCCATTCCCTTTAAGAGCCAGCTGCGTCGTGCCATAAGCGCATTGCTATTAACATGGCGTAAAGTAAGTTAACTTTCGGTTTTGCTCTCGTGGATAGGAAAACCTTACCGCACAGACATCAATTAGCCTATAAATAATTAATTTTGTTTGTTAAGCGTGAATATTTGTTTCAAAACAATTTTTAAATTCAGTTCTAATTTCCAGCAAACGAATAAATGAACAATATTAACAAAGTCTGGTCAAAATTTGGAGTTATTTCCAAATACACCTGCTATGCCCCATAAGGTCTAAAACCTGACAGGTGGACAAATCTAAGCTTGTTTTTAATAAAACAAATATAAATATGGATATAATAAATAATATTGCTAATAATAATAACATTAAACAAAAGCAAATTGAATGAACTGAAAAAGCCTCCCGAGATGAAGAAAGTGTGAAGGCAGTGGTTTTTAAATTCATGTAGGCTAGAAATTAACATGTTTTGTAATATTTTAATCATTTATATTTATATACTATATATATCCTTATTATTTCCCAGAGATGGGTTGCGGCTGGAAGGGCATCCAGTGCGTAAAAACTTGCTGGATAAGTTGGCGGTTTATTCCGCTGTGGCGACCCCGGATTAATAAAGGGACTAAGCCAACAAGAAAATGAATGATATATCCTTATTATATATATTCTTAATATATTATATCTTTTTCATATGTAAAGATATTTGCGTATTGCTCTGTATCTTGTTTGTAGTGTGTAAGCCAGGCGCACTTTGCGCCAGACAATAGAACAGAACAGACTATTTACAGTTTCTCAAAATAGCAATGCACCAAAACATGCCTGCTTTTTTAGACCACAACGCCTATGGGCGCACATTTGAGCGCAAATTCATTTGCTATTTAAACAGTGTGGCGCAACACCTCAAAATGACCCTTGCGCCGAGCTTAAAGTATCAAAAGACTATTGCGCCGCGCTTTGCGCCACATTGCGCCGGGTGTATGATAGAGCCCTATATTTCTCCGCTGGCCAAAAGTCTTGTGCAGAGCTGCAGTCTCAGCGATGGAGGCTGGAAGCTGGCCTCAGCGAAGAGATTTATATTTGGTGACGACGTCTGTGGGTGTCACAAAGAACAACATTGTAATCATTTTAATCCCTGTTTCGGAACAAGAGAATCGATCCACAGGTGTGAAAGCACCCTGACTTTTCCACATGCAACATTATGTATTGTAGACAGACCGTTAATGACGATACTACTAGGGATGTGACAAGATCCTGATGATAAGATCTCGTAAGATTAAATTGTGACGAGATTTCTCGTCGAGGTGAAGAGTAGTCTCGTGAGTTGTGATGTTATGATGGAGGTAAGGGTAAAATTAGCATTGAAGATTGAAGGCAGGATTGAATTTAAATTGCAAATCAAGTGCTTTGCACACACCTGGCAAGTGTGACATAACCGTTTTTTTTTACTGGAGTTCAGCGGCTGCCATGTCCAACAGAGGCTAAAACTGCAGCCACAGACATTATGGTTCATAATGATGCGGTGGAATAGCACTTTGAATATGCTTAAAGTTCTAATCGTCGTAAACACAAATAGAATTAATACAATTTAGACGTATTATTGAAGTGCTGTACAGACACTGCAATCAAACTATTACTGTTGCGTAGGGCTTTAGCCACATTTTGCGACAGGATAAGGCATACACACCGCTGTTTGACATTATTCTCTGCACCTTCTGAGTGAGTAAAAGACCACAGACACACACAAAACACACACACACACACACTGAACTTCTGGAGACTCGAGACTTCACATGTTTATGCTGTCCGGGAAAAGCTGATTGTTTTTTTCTCATTCGCATGCGGTATCAAATTCATATTCGCATGATCGCATCCAGTAGCTTAGAGTGAGTCACGGGGGCATGAATGAAATCTTGCTGAATAAAGGTGAAACTAATTTATTCAATTAATTTTTTTTTTTTTTTTTTGTGGAAGGAGTCTGATTTTTTTCATGTGAAACTGTACAGGGGAGAAGCCAGTCAGTGAAGTTTATAGCTAAATTTTTATTAAGGTTTGCATGTCTTTTATGACATTCATTAAAATAGAAATAAAATACCATTCATTAATTTTTTTTTACAGTCAGTTTCTATAAAACATCAACTGTACGTTAATTTATTAATATATAATCATATATGAAATTAAATTAATATAAAAATATTTATGACTTTGTTCAAACCCAGAAATTGTATACACCTTTTGGATGCATGTGAAAGTATAGAAAGTAAGATCCACAGATACAAACTGTTGTATTTGAGTATATCTATGTTTTAATTGAATGCTTGTTCTGCTTCAGTTTGTGTAATGGCACTCAGCTGTAAAAGATTAAGCATTTCATGTGTTTTTCTATGAGATCCGAGTGTGAATGCATGTGTGAATTTTCACAGATATTGACGAGTGCATGATCTCTCCTGATGTCTGTGGTCATGGCACATGTGTGAACACTTTGGGCAGTTTCCAATGTGACTGTTTTCCTGGCTACGAAAGTGGAATCATGATGATGAAGAACTGCATGGGTGAGTGACACTTTACTATTTATGGTGTGCTTCAGTCAATCAAATAATAAATTATTCGGGACATGGCATTGGTGGCTCAGTGGTTAAATCTCTTGACATTTTCACTTTCCTTTATGTACTTGCGTTTTACTTACTGCATTAAATTCAATATAGTAAAACCTTAAATGTGCCTTTTTAATTACATGTTTCTTGTAGTAACTCATGTACATATTTGCAAAACCATTATTTTCCACACTAATCCTGACCATGTTATGCTGTAGATATTGATGAATGTGAGCGTAACCTTTCACTGTGCAATGGAGGCACCTGTGAAAACACTGACGGCAGCTACAAGTGTGTGTGTCCGCCTGGTCATCATCTGTCTGTGGATGGCAGTGCCTGTGAAGGTGAACTAAATCATGTCATTTGTGTGGGCTATATCTCACTCTTGTTTGTCAAAATAAGCGCATTGTGCCAAATGAATCATTTCAATGTAAGTACATATTAGTTAAGGACACTTAATGTAAAGTGGAACTGTTTTAACCCAAAATAGATTTTGACCTAATTCTTGTCATTGATCTGACGGATATTACTGTTTGTCTGCAGACGTGAACGAGTGTGATCTGAGTAGCACACTTTGTCCTAATGGCTGGTGTGTGAATTTGGTGGGAACCTACCAGTGCTCTTGTAACTCTGGCTACCAGACGACACCTGATTGGAAGGGTTGCACAGGTCAGAACTGTAGATCGACTAGTCAAAAGTTTAAGGTGTTTTTGAGAATTAATTGTGAATTATTTTATTCTTTCATTCATTTTTTGCCTTTATTTCTATACACTACCTGACAAAAGTCTTGTCGCCTATCCAAGTTTTAGGACCAACAAATAATAAGGCCTCTAGATTACATTTAAAATAAAATATGATCATGCCTTGATTTATAATTTTTTAATTAGGACAGTAAGGTCTGACTTTGCTGAGACAAAAGTATTGTCATTTAACAGAAATAATGTACAGTATAGAATATAAAGTCATGGTGCAGTGAAAAACAAGAATGAATATTGTCTCGGACTCCCATGAGCTTGGACGACTGCATCCATACATTTCTGATTCAGATAACTTATTAATAAAGTTGTTAACACTTTATAATAACTATACACTATAAATCATTTATTAAGCATTAGCATGTAGTGAATTCATTATTTGTTAAGCATTAACTCTACATTAATAAACATTAGTAAGCAGTTTATAACTGCAGCTACTAATGCTGTATTCTTGACTTACAATCACAAGTATAATGTGCTTAATAATTGTATTTTCATACTTTGTTAGTGATTTATTTTTCATTACTAAAAGAAGTATTGCATTATTTACAAACCATTTGTATTCAAGAGTAGTTGGTGGTTATTAAGATAATTCAGAATGAGTTAGTAAATGATTAATAAACTATTGAAATCAACGCTTATATATCATATTATTCAGGCGTATATTAATAGTTATTATACATGTTAATGAATGCTTTATTAACTCAACTTCATGCAGTTTTGTGACCTAATGTAAAGTGAGGACTATTCATGCTTTATAAATCCCTTATGAATGACAAATAAAGGCTCAAAATCAACTGAACAATAATCTTTGCAATCTTATCTAAACAATAAAATGACTGTAAAGTCCAAATATTGGCAAATAACAGGTGTCAAAATACAACATAAAACTGGATACAACAACAATATAATAATTTAACAATATAATAAGCAATGATTAAACTGGTCAGTAATTTATTTAAGATAAGGCTGCAAATTTAAATTTTTCATTTGAAGTAGTACATTTTCATTTGTGTATCTTTAAACAAATAGGATTGAATAAAGTCGTTTATGTAATTTTTTCTGTTTATATAATGCAATACTTCATTTAGTAATGAAAAATAAATCATTAACACAGTATGAAAATACAATTATTAGGCACATTTTAAAATGTGGTTGTAAGCCAAGAATACAGCATTAGTAGCTGCAGTTATAAACTGCTTACTAACGTTTATTAATGTAGAGTTAATGCTTAACAGATAATGAATTTACTATTTGCTAATGCATAATAAATGATTTATAGTGTGTAGTTGTGATAAAGTGTTACCATAAAGTCTTCTAGAATGGCAAAGACAGCTTTCTTGCAGGTTTCCATAGTTCATCAAGATTCTTTGGATTCATCTTCAATGCCTTCTTTTTCATCTTACCCCAGACATGCTCAATAATGTTCATGTCTGGTGACTGGGCTGGCCATACCTGTAGCACCTTGACTTTCATGAACTTTGATATGGGGGCTGAAGTATGAGAAGGAGCGCTATCCTGTTGAGGAATTTGCCCTCTCCTGTGGCTTATAATGTAATGGGCAGCACAAATGTCTTGATTAGGCTATTGATGTTGCCATTCCCTCTGCAGATCTCTCACACTCCCCCCATACTGAATGTAACCCCAAACCATGATTTGTTCTTTAACAAACTTGATACTTGTACCGATTTTGGTCCATGTGGGTTCCAATTAGTCTTCAGCAGTATATATGATGATTGGAAATCAGTTTTGAAAGAAAAATGAGTCTGAAAAATCTACATTATGCCACATCTCCAAATGATCAACTAGAAACTAGTCATATTATTATTTGGGTATTACAACTGGGATCAAGGACAAGACTTTTGTCAGGTAGTGTAGTGCTTTATAAATCATAAATCGTCAAAGCAACTTTACATGGATGAGCATGAAAGGTACAAAAACTAACGACAATATTTCAGTTTATAGAACATATTCAGCATGCCAGAATAGTGTCATAATTATCAGCTGGAGTGCCCACAAGATCCACTAGAGGACAAATGGCACTCGCGAGAGAAATTTGAGAACTTAAAAAGCATACACATCGGTCTCTGGTGGATTTGTGAAAACAAAAACTGCAAAAAACAGAGCTCTTGGGAAATATTTGTCACTCTCCAGAAATCTATATAGCGATACATTCTTAGAATGAGCCTGAGTTGGACTTATGCCTGTTGACTATTCTTGGTATTAAATGTTGCATATGGAACTCCACCTTCATTGCCACAACCATTCATAACATCTAGAATGCTAGTGTATTTATACTTAACACAACACGGATACAGTTCCGTTTAATAATGTTTCTGTTGAAGGACGATCCACTGAAAAGCAGCTCCACTTTCTTTATTTTCTCTATTTCATACAATAAGCAATATATAATGCAAAAAAAGTAGATTTACATTTACACATTGGGGTCAATATAAATTTTGGTAACACTTACAGTAATGTCATTTTACTTAAGATGTATTTTGTATGAGTAATGAGTAATGCACACATTTCTTAATATTACTCAAACTGTCAATTGAATTTCTTTGTATAAATACATTATAAAAGATGAATGACCCTACAATGTTACTGGTACTGTTCATAACTATGTAACTTTGTACTTTAGATATAGATGAGTGCACAATAGAGAACGGAGGATGTGAGCTGTACTGTAGTAACTCAGAGGGCAGTTACTCCTGCAGCTGTGGTCAGGGTTACAGTCTCACGCCGGACCAGCGGACATGTTCAGGTATCTCTACTACTGACCATAAAACGCTGCAACACTGTTTTTTATACAGTTGAATTCAGAATTACAAGCCACCCTTTGATTTTTTTTTGTTCTTTTTTAAATATTTCATAAATGATGTTTAACAGAGCAAGGAAGTTTTCACAGTATGTCTGATAATATTTTTTCTTCTGGAGAAAACCTTATTTGTTTCATTTCGGCTAGAATAAAAGTAGTTTTACATTTTTTTAAAAACATTTTAAGGTCAAAACTGTCACGGAAAACAAGGAGACCCAATTGCAAGTAACAGTGTTTATTATGATCAACAAGACACAGAGCTGATAAGTTGTTTGCTGGTAGATGTCAGGTGAGTATCTCAGGAAGTGAGTGAATCCAATAAAAAGTTCTAGGGCTGATGCAAGTTCGAGCAGCCGTCAACAGAGAAGATCAAAAGTCCAATGAAGTCATCAACAGAGAAGATCAAAAATCCAACGGCATAAAACTCTTCCAGCTCACTCACCACCAACGATTCAACGACAAGAGCCTGACAGGACACAGACAAACCGTGAGGACAATGAACTGACAATGTGAGACAGGAACACTGAACATATATAGGCGCAGTAATGCGCTGCACCTGTGGTGCGCTGATTATCAGCTGAGCGGTGCTAAGCAACGGCAAGTGCCTGTGACAGCGTACACGTGACCACCCATCTGATGACATGTAAACACAACTGACAGCCATGCGACTTCCACACAGACACACACACACACACACACACACACTCACCCATAAACACACACACGCAGACACATCATAGAAGAACAGACAGATCCACCATCATGACACAAAACTATTAGCCCCTTTAAGCTATATTTTTTTCAATAGTCTAAAGAACAAACCATCATTATAATGACTTGCCTAATTACCCTAACTTGCCTATAGTTAACCTAATTAACATGGTTAAGCCTTAAAATGTCACTTTAAGCTGTGGAAGTGTCTTGAAAAATATCTAATCAAATATTATTTACTGTCATCATGGCAAAGATAAAATAAATCAGTTATCAGAAATGAGTTATTAAAACTATTATGTTTAGAAATGTGTTGAAGAAATCTTCTCTCCGTTAAACAGAAATCAGGGAAAAAATAAACGGCGGCTAATAGTTCTGACTTTAACGATCTACAGAAGCCTTGTTTACATTGTGGAACTTATAATATGTCCAGCTGAACACATGCATGCATTCAACTCTTTGTTTCTGTGTCTCTCCAGATGTGAATGAATGTGAAGAGGTTTTAGACATCTGTGAAGGTGGTCAGTGCACTAACGTTCCTGGAGCATATCATTGTTTGTGTTACGAAGGATTTATGGCTTCCGTGGACATGAAGACATGTATTGGTAGGCTGCAAAAGTTTTAAAACATGCTGCATTTTTTAAATAAATGCTAAACTCAATGCTTGATATATACTGTAATGCATATTTTGTATATAATTCAACTCACTTCGGCAAATCTTGAATTTTTATTTGTGTGACATAACTTGTATGTTCATGTGTTTTTGACCAACAGTCAAATAACTAAATCCAATATGTTTTAAAATATATACAATCACAAATAAGGCATCTATTTTAAAAGTTAATATCACAAGAATGTGCTGTAGTTGACCAGTTGTGTCAGCTTTGTCTGTACTGCGTCTGTTTTGAATTTTGCATAGTCTTTGAAAGAATCTTATTTCAGATTTTTTTTCCTGGATTTTTGTCTTGCTATTTGCAGATGTGAATGAGTGTGAACTGAACGACAACATCTGTGCATTTGGGGAGTGTGAGAACACCAAGGGTTCTTTCATCTGTCATTGTGACATGGGTTACGCCGTAAAAAAAGGAACCTCTGGCTGCACTGGTGAGACCTGATCTTGAAAATGTGTGAAACATATAGCACTTGTGAATTATGTTTGTGTTATAAACCTATCGTGCTGGTAGTATAGTGTTTCTTACAAAATGAACATGTAATGTAGCATCTATAGTGCATATGACTTTTAGGTCCAATCCAAATACTATTTTTGTACCCCTTCCCCTTGGCCCTTACAACCGAGCGTAAAGGGGAAGGGCTTCAAAATTTACCCCTAAGAATTGGGACAGCACTACACCACCTGCACACGCCATCATATGTCCTCGCCATCTCCTGAGAACTGCTGTAGTTATTCCAGTTGTGTTATTTTTTTGTATTTATCTTCTGAAAATCGTTGAAGGCATATATCATGTTATCATAACGATCGGATGTGGCAATAAGATCATAACTGTACTCTGTATTTACACAGTGGCCCTATTCATTAATGGAAACACCAAAAACAACATGAACATTATAGCTGACAATGTGAAAAGCCCATTGACAGCCACTAGACATTACTGACAGGGTATTTGAGTGTCAGAATGTTGTGGGATTGCTGTACAGGAGTTATTAATAGGGATTAAAGAATGCGAAATTATTCTTTTAGTAGCGTTTTTTATTTTAAAAGCATGACAGTAAAACACGAATGTGGTTATGAATATATTCAAACATGTTTATGTTATGTAAAAATTCGTAACAAAGACAAAAAATACTAATTTGTGGATCTCCTTACTTCGTTTCTATTACGTATTATCTGTAAATAGAAATAAAAATATGCTGAAGTGGATAAAGTTTGAAAGCGAAAGGATAATCATAATTATTAATCGTGAATGAAACTCTGCACAAAATAACCTTGATTATCATGTTTATAAATTATTGTGCAGCCTAATACACTACCTCACAAAAGTCTTGTCGTTGATCCCAGTTGTAAGAGCAACAAATAATAACTTGTGTAGCATGAAATTAGCTCATTTTATGAATATTAATAATCAACAATAACGGTTTATTCTTAATTATTAATATTCCGGCTTAAGCTTCAGTCAGTTTGGTCAAACAAACATATGATTGTAAATGATCATGCTCGCGCGACCAAGCGGATTCCCAGATTATGAATATTAATTATAAACAATAACGAATTATTATTAATAATTAATATTCCGGATAAATTTATTGTTAATTTGACCAAACAAACACAAGCAGAGCCGCCGCTCTTCCGAGCGGACACGGTAATCTATTCATTTAGAAAAAGGGAATTTAATTGCTACTTCTTGTGAAGTAGATTAATCATTCAAAAGTTTTAAACAACTTATAATAGCTAGGCAGGGGAATCTGTATTTCAGTGACATTTTCTCGTGAGGCAAACAATACAATTCATTTGATTATAAATGGAATTTATTGACTAGTCAGACGTAACGAACAAACAAACGCACAAACATACATTAAACACAAAACAAAGGTAAACCACGTGGAGATATCGGGTCTATAGAACGTGTAACAGCAAAGAGAAATAGTAAAGCTAGAAAATATAGATTTCAGATTAAAAGTGACAAAACTTTCAGTTCCACACGCACCATTAAGGACCACCAAGGTTATAAAAAACACCTTTTTGATAAAAGGGGCACAGCTTAATCGCATAACTAAAATCACCTGGTTTTTCATGTCTGGAGGTCTCTTTTATGCGTCTCTCTTCCGTCGTGATGAAAACTACTCTTGATGTCCTTTGATGCGTGGAGTTTGTAATGCAGTTCGGACGAACACGATCGCAAACTTTAAACTGAATTTACTTTGCCGGAAAATAAAGAAAACGTGGCGGGAAAGTCCATGCGGCTGTGAAGAGCCGTGTGGCCCTTAAAGGGACCACCGTCAATGATGTTCCTTTTTGGGAAGTTCTCTTTCTGCCCAGATGTTTGGGGGGAAGTGTGCTTATACCTGCGGGTCACGTGACAACCCGTACAGCATTCTGACCAATGATTTCAGGGGAAAGTTTGCGCGCGAACCTTCCTTTGTCTCTGGGCTGCACGTATGCAAATTTGAGCGCCCGCCTAAAGCATGCGGACAGGCATTTAATACAGGGCTTTAAAGAATAAAGCAATGCGAGTTATGGTCTCGATCTATGCATCATCTTTGTTTAATTTTGAGGAATGTCTTATCTGTGAGCAGAATGTTGGCTAAAGAGGTTTTTTTCCTTTTCTTATCTTATCTGTCACGTTCTTTTGAAGTAGGCAGAGAGTGGTTCTGTGAAGTCTCCCAGACTTGTTAACATGTCACCAAGGGATTACCAAGCCAGACTTTTCGTCACCAAGTGATTTTATTGTCCTGGCGATTCACCCAGATTGTTTTCTGGAATGTTAAATGGAATGTTTATCTCCAGAATGCAGGTTACAATATGTTACAGTCCCCCTCTTCCCAGACAACGTGGTTCGGAGAAAACCCGGTTGGTTGGGATCTAACTTTAACTTGTTGGTTGGGCAGGAAGTGAGGGCCCCTCGATGTCCGTTCCTGAGTCAGCTGGACGGAGTTTCATTTCGATCAACGTGGGTGCAGCTCCTTGGCGTTCCTTTCCTTTCCCAGCTTTCCGTTGAAAGGCTCGTGGGAGTATGGCGGTGCACTTGTTCACTGGTGCTTGCATCTTATTGAATGGCGAGGCCCTTGTTAATGTGTGCTTCCCTGTTGTCGGGAGGCACGGAGTGGTAGTTGTTCTGCAGTTTTCCAGAGATGAGTGATAGAGGTGTATAGTTGTGAGGTTGCAGTGGTCTTCTGGTGAGACTGAGGTACAGGATCGTGGCTGTATCCTGTGTAGGAAAGGAAGAGAGAGAGAGAGAGAGAGGGAACAGGGGAGAGAGTAGGTGGTGTCTGTGATGACTGTGCTTGGCTGGGCATTCCACTGTGACACCAGTTGCAGGGTCTCTACCCCCTTACCTGGCTTGTGGGCCAGTGTTTGTTACTCTGGTTGTGATACGTAAGTTTGAGGGTTGGCTGCTATGCAGCTGAGCGTATACAGCCAGGAGTCTTTGCCCTTCCTGTGTGATGTTGGTAGTGCAGGGTGGGTGCCTCTGTCCAAGTTGTTTACATCATCAGAAGATATGCCATGGTCTGGGCTGTGTCGTCGGTGCTGAGAGACACTCTACCCATTTGGTGTACTGGCATATGAGTTCAAGGGGAAGAGAAAGCGAAGGAGAGAAAAACACACACACAAAAAAAAAAAAATTGTTGCTCCTTGTGAGCCCATGGAAGTGTCCCGCCCGATCCATCTGGGTGTCTGATCATGAGAGGATGGTTTCTCTGTTGCTGTGGTGCTCGGTGAATCAGCGCCCTGGGCATGTTTTGCTGTGTGCAGGGTCAGTACATTAGCATTACCCCCCTCTGGCTCTGAGGCAGCACGAACTGTTGTGTCGTGGGGTCTTCAGGGACAACCCAAAAAGGATTCACACGCACCTGTTTTTTAAGATGTAGGAGGTGTTGAGTGACATCTGTGTTGAAGCTGAGGTCAGACAGAAGGATCGGGTGGTAGGTGGGGTGAGTGGTGGAAAACTAACAAAACAAGAGACAAAGTAAAAGTAAAAAATAAAACTGGTCTGACGTGAGGAGTCAGATGCCTACGTGGTCGCAATGTCGTTTGCGACATTTGTCGGGCTGGTGAGATTGGATGTGGCAGCTAGGCTAGGCAGGGTTGTTGGCTGCCGGTTACAGCTGCCAGATCTCGGGGTTTTGGTTGGGTGGTGACCATGGTCCACCGTGTGATGCACCTTCTTGGTAAGGGCATCGGTCCAGTCATTCAGGTCCTTGTCAGTGCCTGAAAGTTTGAACTGTTCTTATCTTCTTCTGTAGACGACCATGATGTGGTTGTCAGTGTTGTGGTCGCCTACTTGGGAAGAAGAAAAAGTGTTGACGTTTCACTGGCTTGTGGTGGGCAGTTCTGAAGCCTTTTGTTTCCCCCCTGGGAGGTGGAACGTGAAACAGAGTCTAGCAAGTTAGAGTCTGCAGCTAAGTGCACTCTGATGTCATGGGCTGCTGTGCTTTGAAGGGTTACAATGGTGGCTGCCATTTCTGCATACTGCGGTAGTTGTGGGAGCATCCATCGACACAGGTTGTGGGCATACCTTGGCACGCATTCTCATCCCAGTACTTGGGGGTACTTGAATGACAGGTTGGCAGAGGTGGCTGAGGTTCCTCCTCTACAGCGTTGCAAATTGTCTGTCAGTTGTACAGTCTTGGTAAACAGCTATGCTGTTACCCAGCGTGGATTTGTGGCTTAAGGTGTAACAAGTGTCAATACAGTGGCCCTAGGGGGCCATCGGCCGCATGGCCGTACTGGCGTTAGTCTTTATGCCATCCCGGATGTGCTGACTGTTCAGTAACGTGACAGGTTGGTGGCAGGTGTCTATGATGGTTTTAGTGCTCCAAAGAAGTTGGAGAATAGCTGTTGAAATGGCACCCACCGTGCAGAGCGATGTTGTTACACAGTCTTAGTATTTGCCTTCTGGCGCAAGGAGTGTCTTACTTGCATATGCCCAGACGTTGTCTCACTTCAATCGTGGCCAGGTGTTGACCTTCTGTCAAACAGAAGGACAGCCCTTTTTGACAGGGTGGTCACAGGTCGAGAAGTCTTTGAACAGTTCTTAATGACGTGTCTGGAGTAGTTGCACCCACTTAGGGAGCCGCTCAGTTCGGAGACCTTGCTAGGCGGTAGTCTTTGCGCTAGCCAGTCAACTGTTGTAGGCCATAGACTATCTCCTTTGAGTGGCCAGACACGGTGGTACATTCATTAAGGATGTCATCAACGTAGATGAGGTTGCCTCTAACATAAGCATCGGCATATGCTTTGTTCAGGAGGGTGTTGCTTTCGGCTGGTGAGTTGGCCTAGCCGACGGGGCAACTCATGATCGTTTAGTGTCTGTTGTTCAAGGTGAAAGCTAGCTTATGCTGGTCATTTGGATGTACAGGTATCGTCCAGAAGGCGGGGACCACATCAAGCGTTGAGGAGATGGTTGGTCCTTGAATTCTGGGCACTT